TGGCGTCATTGGCATGTCACGGAGGGCGTTACAGACGTCACGAGCGTCACGAATCTCCTCCGTCACGGTGTGATCCTCCTCGCTCGAACGAACCCTCTCTCGTGGCAAGGCCCCATTCGTGGTGTCTTGTTCAGCCCGACTGACGGCCATTTTCGGTTCGAAAATTAAATGCCCGGACAGTGACACCCGCAACTCTGGGTGGTCTCTGTGTCTGTCCTTGCTCTTCAACCGCCTCGCCCTTCGTTTGACGCCACCGCCGCCGTCACAGTCGCCATCACTTGACCACAGTCTCTCCTAACGCCATCACCTTCGTCGTGATGGCGGCAGTCAATGGTCATCACTCGGCGCACTGAGGCGCTTCACCGGCGGTCGTAATGTCATTTTCGCTGACGGTTACTCGTCGTGGTGGCGTCGTGGCGGCGGTAACTCTCGGTGATGGCGACTCGTGGCGACTCGTGGCGACGGTGGTGGTGGTTGTTAACGTCGCGGCATTCCGGTGTCTGGGACCGCATGCCGGCGGTTTCCGGTTATCGTCCGCGATGATTGCGAGACCACTTTGTGTCTGGCCGCCGTGCAGTCCTGCGGTGACGGGCGGACAGACCTGTGGAGGGAGGGTGGGGCAGGGCAAAGAAGGGGTGCGCTGAGGGTGCGGGAAGGGGAAGCCGGGGGGACTGAGGAGCGGCAAGCCCGAGGTGGAGCGGTAATGGGACGCTGTCCGTACAGTGAGCGCGGATGATGCTGGATGTGACCAAACCGGGGAATGGTGTTCAGAACTTCAGAAGCCGAAGGCGATGGGACGGCTGATCCAGCGGAGGCTGAAATAGGGGAAGGATGGGCGAGTGGGGAGGGGAAGGGCGATGAGACTTCAACCTACAACAACAACAACAACAACAACAACAACAACAACAACAACAACAACAACAACAACAACAACAAGGGGAAGGTGTAGAAGGGATGACGAAGGGGCGAACCAGGACCACCAAGAGGCCCTTTATCTGACAAATCGCGCTTCGTGCGTTGTGCAAAGGCTGCGTTTTCTGATCTTTACCTTGATGGACAATCTTGTGCAAGGTTGCTATCTTTAAATAACATCAGCGATGTTTACATTGTAGTCACTTCCTGTTTTTCATGCTACAGTGTTACTTTGAATGCTGTTTTTCCGCTGTTAACATGCTTTGATACTAGTGGTCAACACACATCGGGACCAAACCATTTCTGCGGACTGGGGGATCGACCGCTTCCTTTTCTGGAAGGAGTGTTGGTATCAGGAGTACATGATCGGAATCCTCATGGTTCCATTCATGCCGCGATTTTTCAACCTACTCCTCAGACTATTGGATTTCTCTTTCAAAGCGCATTAGCTTCTTGCTGAAATTATGAAATTCCTGGGAATCATATGACACGTTTCTCATGCTTTTCGAACGTGTGTAAGCTCCTGCTCAGACTGAGCACTCCTATGAAAAACCTGTAGTTGTGCGGGACCTCAGACCATGCATTCGTTTTTGTTGGTCAGATAGTAACAGTGTTCTGGTGAGATTTGTCAGTTTCGGTTGCAGAATACTAGACTGTTACGATCGTCGCAACATGCCATTTTGCCGTCTCAGCAAAGTCCAAAGGCACGTCTCACGTACTCATGTGCAACATTTGTGGCAACACCTGCGATGGGCGCTACTGGATTTGAGTTTATTTGTTGCTTTGTTACCGAAATATGCACGAATAGGGATGAGAATTGGGCCATCGTGGTGGAAAGAACAACACGATTTCGTCGAATATTAGTGGATGTTCACCGCGAAACGTCAAAGGTTCATAATTTTCCAGACCATTTGCTGTTTCTTGATTTATAACAAGCCGTCCTTGGAAGTGAACTTTAAATATGCGTCCCATACAGCCATGAACTGGGATGAAAAACCCGCTGAATCACATTTTCTTTTGTTTATTTCCAATGTCTTTGGAATCTCGAACATCCATTTAACCCTCTAGTGCCCCCGGTATCATATCTGTAAGTCAATTTGCAGAAAATTCGCCTGCTAATCATAGAGGTGAAAATTGTTGAAAACCCTGCAGTATCAGAAGTGGTACGTCTTGGCAACCACCTGGTGGCAAAATTTTTAAGTAATGATATCTCAGTTTCCCACCAGGTCATTTTGAAGAGGGTCAGTTTGTCCTTTGCTGAAAGTCAATTTGAGATGCAAGTGTAAATTTAAGCATTTAGAAAACAAAAAAATTAGTTATTTGGAAAGAAACTTGGTATACTGTGATACAAATGTTCAACATATATCATAGTATGTTGCAAAACATCGCAGCTATTTCAGGGTCAAAGATATGGACCCCTATTTTTGGGGATACTAGATATGATACAGTGGGCATAGCACTCCAATATTTTCTATGATTTTTTCGCCGCTGCAACATACGGTGTGCCAATACCATAGTTTTCTCCGGTGATAAGCATTGCAATGGCCTGTGAGTCATTGCAAATGACGATGGTACAAGATGCATAAATTTGTGAAGTTCGCACCTCTTGCGCCAGATGCTCCAGACTATTCCGCTCCAGACTTAAAATATCATAACGATATTGGTACGCTTATGCCGCCTCTCATCCTTCTCAATCTTCTAACATCTAGCTCTCTATGAGTGGCCTTATGCCTCATACATCTCGACTTTTCTAACGCTCGTAGGAATATGGTTTTGCAACTGTTTGACGATGACAATAGTGAACCTTTTGATCTGCAGGACACTAGCAGACCATATCTTCTAAAACCACGTTAGGAATGACATGCTATCGATGACAAGCTTGTTGATTTCAAGGAACGATCATCCGTGCGAGCATTTATACTCGTGAAACCAAAAATTGAGACTTGATGTTAGGGACAGGAGGATTCAGCGGTCTCTTGCACAATTTCGATATTCCAACAGGGGTTGTGGACGGGCTTATTTATGTCTTGTGGGTCTATGTGTTAGCTGGGCATGGATGAAGACTTGCATTAGCAGCCAGCCAGCATTTTTCATTCATATTGGAGAACGATTCACAATTTGTTTGCGATTCAGATCTCCTCCGTTCATCCCAGTAGTAAGAGATTGAATGTGGAGTGGAAAACTATATCGTCATCTTCAGAGGAAGCTCGCTAAACGGGCTCGCCATGAAGACAGACTCAGGACCGAAGGGCGTGGTTCCTTTGATTTCCTATCTAAGAAGTAGGCAACCATGCACTGCTGCCAGGTTCCAGCAGGTGCCTGACACCTGGCAAGCATTTTCACTGCCAGGTATATCATTTGTTGTCATATATTGACATATGCCGCCAACTATGGTAGCTGAGTGTCACTAAACAAAAAGGATTATACTAAAACATGGATACTACTTTTGTACTGACCATAAGAATAAAAGTTACGGCATTGCGTAATGCGTATGCTCACCTCCATATGAGGTCAATGAACATTGTGCAAGTTCCTGCCGATCGGTACACAGTTACCTGTACCTTTGTTGTCTGACACGTACAACGGTTACTGCACTGGTCAGTGCGCGGCTGTTGTATTGACGCTGATGACATCAGGACCGCACGACCAGTCAAAGTAGTAACTGACGATTCACAGGCTGAGGGTTTCAGTCACCAGGGATTGTCCGGCTATCGTGAAGATAAACCAACATCGTCTTTGGCATTGATCCCGGTCCGTCGGCAGGCTGTCCAGCATTTTGCATCAGAACTGCTTCACTTCAACCACTTACCGCGAGCCAACTGTAATGTCTTCATTTCTATATCAAGTATGCATAACGCATCTACGTTTGAGAAGCATGGCCCACATGTCTGAATTATGAAAAAATTGCACAAGTGCAACGCGCTGTATCGTGGAAATTGAAGGAATAGAAGGCACTCGTAAATAGATGCCTATGATTAGCGTTGTTCCCTAAGCAGTAAGCACCGACTGAAAGGACATTTTGATACAAGAAGAATGCCAATGAAATATTAAGAAAATGTTCTGATAAAAGGTGCACAGTAAAGGATGTCTTGTTGGCATTTTACACATTGTAACTGCCACTTTTATCACTGAAATTTTTGATAATATATATTTTCTCATCTATGTCTTCACTTCCTTCTGTGTGGTCTGATACCACTAAAAATTAGCAAGTGGAATGCCCAATGTATCATATCTGATACAAAATTTATTTCCGAAATTTGAACTGCGAAAAAATATTTGACATCAGATTTCGAACAAGGGACCCAAAATGAGTCATATGTCACAAGGTGTTAATTTTTGGAACCGTGGAACTATGTGTGGGCATTAGAGGGTTAATCTTCGATATCCGTGCATACTGTGAATCCCATACATTCCACATTGGGAGTGCCCTGACCGCCCGCGTTGTCAGACCACAGTTCTGCGCGGCTGCGGCAAATGACTGGCGCACCGGACACGCTCCCGGCGCACCCACCTGAGGAGGGGGGGGGGGGGGGCTGGGGGGGGGGAGAGGATCACGTTTGATCCAGAGATGCGACCGATCCCGCCGCCGACAGTCGCTCGTGGACTGAAGATGGCGACCGGATGATCTGCGATTACATGGCGGCGTCTGTAGATAAACAACTGACCTGGAACGCGGCACGTCTGTCTGCCTGTCTGTCTGTCTGTCACTATTATCTGTTGTCGGTTTGTGAGACTGTCTGCCTGTCTGTTGTGTCTCTGCCTGTGTGTCTGTATCTGTCTGTTGTTCTGTCTGTAGGCCTGTCTGTGCTGCTTTTATAGGCATGCCCCCGATTTATTCATGTCATAACATCAAAAGTACATAGCTACATTCCTCGTTTGATTTATTTAATAGACTATTTCGTTTCCCATCCTTTTCTTCGCTGATTATTTGCATTTCAAGTAACTCTGGTGGTGTCCAACGCCACTCACTGTAACTCCCGCCCTTCCGCTTACCTTGTTACTCCCTAACCACTCCCCTAATCACCCCCTTAACCACCCCCTGACCACTCCCTCACCACTCCTTCCATCCCCTCCCCGAACCCTCGCAGCCGGATCGGGCGTGGTCTGAAGCATTAGTCGCCGACGTCGGAGGTCTGGCGTTTCTGGTGGAAGTGCTGCGTTTTCTGGTCGATTTGCCACCCGGCATCTGTGCTGGAGCGACGAAGCGCGCCGGCCTCGGCGCGGCGGCCACTGACCGCGCCGGCATTGCCGCATCGCTGCGCCGTGACCGCCACGCTGCGCCAGGTGCGCCGCAGAAGCCGCCGATCGCCCTGTGCGCCATGGATGTCTCAAGGGTGGGATTGGGTTCCTGGGGTCGCGAGTGGTTTCGTTTTTAGGATTTTTGTGTGTGTGTGTGAAACTGGAAGAACGGGAGTTTCGTGCTGGGTGAATCGTACGGTTATTCTAAGAAAGATGGTGTAAAAATGGTGCGGTTTAGATCCTCTTAGCCTGGAAGACTAGCCTTGTTTGTGGATGTTTTCATTTGGCGTGGATGCTTGCACTGTGCGGTATTTTTTCTAGAGCATTGCACTTAGCGCATGCTTAATCTTTTTTAAGTTGCAGAACTTCACAGGAAGGGCAATCTGCTTTCTTCTGTCAAGATTATCCATCTGAAAGGAGTTTCGGCACATCTTAAGTTCGCTCTAGATGTAAACGGGACTGTAAAAGTGCCTTTTTGAGCTGTATTATTTGCGGTGAAATCTTCTTCTAGGAGCGCGTTGTGCCTTGACCGTCGTTCATCGTTACCTCACTTAGCGTTTCCATGAATGACAACCAGCTTGGATTTCACCAACGGCGGCGGCATTTGAGGACCTCTATACCTTGCCAGTGCCTGGTTCGGCCTGTCGTGAATGAAAACCAGTTTGAATGAACTGACCGAGGGGTTTTAATAGATAACTTGTCCTGTCTATTGTGACTGCAAACATTTCGCTGGCAGTTGACGCCAACTGCCAAATTCCGCATTAATTAGCTCCGGTAATAAACCATTATCAACAATCAAAGCGGAAACGTTTTTATGGTGCCGACAAAGTGGCTTCCGCCTTCTTCCTCGGCCGTTCCGCATACTCGCAGCTTTTGATGGTAGAAGTGCCGCGCAGTTTTGTTGGGGTATTCTCAAAACGTTGGTTTCTGTAGTTCCCTAGTTAGAGAGGCGGATGGGCTTTTGGGTTCATGGGTATCCTGTTGAGCGCGTCAGCGATATCTTCGAGTGATTATCAATGATTTAATTTAGCGTTTTTCTGTTCCATTTCCCCGTAGTTCTTTTGACTGCGAAAAGGATTCAGTAGAAGCTCTTCAGGATTTGTTTTTTTTAGTTTGTCGTAAGGGTCATGGGAGCTGGTTTTCATTCCTGATTTGCTTACATCCTCGTGTGACCTCGTGACAGTCAATTACGGAACTGTTTGCGTGTCATATCGCCCAGAACCGACCGAATTGTATGATGCAAAATCAATTGTTCGCAGCTCTCCTAATTTGCTTTGACAACCGGCCGGTTACTTTAAAAATGAATGTTTTTTATCCTTTAAAGCGGACATTCATTCTGCTGTGTCCGCCTCCCAGCTTCCATTCGCTTATAGACTTCCTGCCTTCCTCCACCCTTCAACTTACCCTTCAGCTGTCTGCCTCTTCTCCGCCATCTGCCGATCTTCCAACCCCACCTCCGTCGGGTTGATCGCCCTGTTGTGTCGGGCGCCTCTTTCACCTGTTCTGACCCGAGCAGCCAGCTGTCGGGGTGAGCTGCCGAGCCTCTGACCGCTCTAAGCTTCCAGACGGTGCCCCTGACCTCTGTCAGGCGCATGTAGCCCATGTGGCGCAGAAGCGGCATTGGTGGCGGGGCAGTGACAATCAGGTACTCATCTTGGTAGAATGTGGCTTGACCGGGGATGAATCGGCCTCTCGGGGAGGGGAGGGGAGGGGGAGAGGTCGCGGGCGTACGCCGACCCTGGGACACGGACTGCCCCAACGTCCAAAACTGCGGGAACTGCGGAAAGTCGCTGACGTCAGCTATGACTGAGCTAAGAAATGATGATGCTGAGACGAAGTTCAAACTGGTAAATGGTGTGACGAGATCACGAGTTTTTTTTTGGGATTGGCGTCGCTTCGATTCCTGTTCCGTGATTTTTCGTTCCGAGTCTTGTGCACCGCGAAAGTGGTTCCTATGACTGCAACGAAACTGGTTTGATCGTGTGACCTGTGAGGCGCCGAAAACGAAATGTTTTCATCCTACTCTGCCGAAAAGCTGGTTTTGGCACCGGTTCGCCGATTCCGTTTCAGGCCCCGGGATTTCGGTATCCACCATCTCTGTCAACATTGCGTGAAAGACTTGTTGGGCATGTCAAGACTTTGTGGTAGATTTTGTGGTAGTTCAGGGGGGAGATTCGTAGTGCGATAACCAGGTGACCGGATAACGAGGTGGGAGTGTCGTTATATACCTTGCTAGTGGAGAAGATAAGGTTGGTGGGAAAAGAGTACCATGGAGCCGCCACCTACTGGCCGCGCCCGCGGACGCGCCCGTGGCCGCGGCCGCAGTCAGCAGCAGCAGCAGCAGCCGGGAGCCGACCGGCGACCAGGCGAGCCGGCCACCGTGCAGGCGGCGCAGCCGACTGTGGGGGCGTCGGCAGTTCCGACGGGCGCGGCACCACCGACGCGCGCCAGCCACCACCCGTCTGCGGCGCGCGAGCCGACCACCGCCGACGGCCTGGTGCGCGACATGTCTGCGCTGCAGGTGGGCAGCAGCGTCGGCGGCAGCACCGAGGCGCAGGCCAGCTCGGGCGGCAACGGCGCCGCCAGCGTGGGCCGCGGCGCCACGCGCGGCCGGCGCGACGGCGGCCCGCGCGAGGCGCGCCAAATGGAGACCACACGCCCCGAGAAGATAGTCAGCAAGGTGGGTGGCATCGGTGCTCCAATCCAGCTGATGGTCAACTATTTCAACGTCGTGGACAAGACGTCATGGTCCATCAAGCAGTACCGCGTCGACTTCGACCCGCCCGAGGATAACACGCGCTTCCGGAAGAAGCTGTTGCGTGCCCACCAAGCGCGTCTGGGTCAGCACTACATTTTTGACGGCACGATGCTGTTCCTGGAGAGGATGCTGCCAGAACAGGAGCTGGAGCTGCTCAGCGTGAAGGAGTCTGACGGATCGAAGGTGCGAATTCTCATCAAGTTCACTCACGAGGTGCCGCCGATGGATCATCAATTCATCAACATCTTCAATATCATCACCAACCAGTGCATGAGTCTGATCGGCTACACCAAACTGCGCAAACAGGACAGGGAGTTCTTCGACATGAAACAGGCTCAGTCGGCCGACCGTGGACAGCTGGAGATATGGCCCGGATACGGGGCGGCCGTCAACCAGTTCGAGCACAACGTGCTCATGTGCGTCAGCGTGTCGCACAAGGTGCTGCGCATGGACAGCGTGCTGAACCAGCTGAGCAGCATCCAGCGCCAGTTCCCACGCGACGCGCGCGCGGCCGCCGAGCGCCGGCTGCTGGGCTGCATCGTCATGTGCCGACACAATCTGCGCATGTACAAAATCGACGAGATCATGTGGGACAAGACGCCGGCGGCCGAGTTCGACTACAAGGGCACCAAGATCCCGCTGGCCAAGTATTACCAGGAGAAGCACAACATTACCGTCAGCATGGACCAGCCGCTCCTCCTGTCCAACCCCAAGCGACGCGAGATGCGCCAGGGCCAAACTGAGCCGTTCTGGCTGGTGCCGGAGCTGTGCAACATGACGGGCCTCTCTGACGAAATGCGAAACAACAACAACCTGATGAAAGAGCTGTCTGGTTTCCTGAACATGCCACCCCAACAGCGGGCCCAGAAGCTGCACCAGTTCAGCACCCGGCTCAACAGCAGCGAAGATGTGAAAAGTCTGCTCAGCTTCTGGGGCCTCAAGTTCTCCAGGGAGCTACTGAAGGTGAACGGTCGCGTCCTGCCGAGAAAAGGTCAAAACCAACCGGGAGACTGAGGCACGCGATGGCTCCTGGAATGACGCCGTCAAAACCGGCGTCAGCTCCTACGTCAACCTGTCGCGCTGGCTGCTGTTTTACACGTCGCGCACACAGGAGCAGGCCGCCAAATGCCTGACCAGCGTCAAGAACGTGGCGCGCAACTTCGGCATGATGATTGACGAGCCGCGCAAGATCCTGGTGAGCGAGGACCGCGTCCAGGGCTACGTGCAGGCCATCGAGCAGAACTTTTCGCCGGAGGCGCAGCTAGTGATGTGCATCATCCCCAGCAAAGACAAGACCAAGTATGACGCCATCAAGCAGCTGCTGTGTCTGCGCCGTCCGGTGCCCTCCCAGGTGGTCACGGCCCGGCTCATCCAGACCAACAAGAACACGCTCGGCGTGGCCACAAAGATCGCTCTGCAGATGAACTGTAAACTGGGTGGCGTCCCTTGGGAAGTGAAGATCCCCATGAGCGGATCGATGATCGTCGGCTATGACACGTATCACGAGTCTCAGCACAAGGGCGCCAGCGCCGGCGCCTGGGTGGCCAGTATGAACGCCAACGCCAGCAAGTACTACTCGCTGGCCACCATCCACAAGGACAAGGAGGAGATCTGCTCGCACATGCAGAGCAACATGATGCTGTCCATGTGCCGCTACCGTGAGATCAACGGCAGCTTCCCGACCAATGTCATCGTCTACCGCGACGGCATCGGCGAGGGATCGCTGCGCTACGTGCACCAGCATGAGATCGACCGCATCAAGGCGGCCATCACCGAGCTGAACGCCCCGACGCGGCTCTGCTTTATCATCGTCACCAAGAACATCAACACGCGCGTGTTCGCGCAGGGGAGAGGCGGCGGCGTGGACAACCCGCCGCCGGGCACTGTGGTTGACGACGTCATCACCCGTCCGGAGAGGTACGACTTCTACCTCATCTCGCAGAAGACTCGGATTGGCACCGTCACCCCCACCATGTACAACGTGATTCTGGACGAGACGAGCTACATGCCCAAGCACCTGCAGATGCTCTCGTACAAGCTGGCGCACATGTACTTCAACCTCTCGTCGACGGTGCGTGTGCCCGCGCCGAGCCACTACGCCCACCGTCTGGCGTTCCTGGTGGGCCAGTCTCTGCACCAGCAGCATCACCTGGACCTGGCCAACGAGCTGTTCTTCCTGTAGGACGGACAGCGCAGCCAAGAGCGGTCGGTGCACATTCCTGCCGATGGCGCTCGACGGCCACCCAGCCCAGTACAACCGGCCGCCGGGCCGCCAGCACTGTGTCTGTCTCCCTGTGTGTAAATATTTCGGGCCGATCCGCGGGAGGTCTGCCTGAGCCCGCCGGAGCGCTCCGCCATCCGCCAAGTGGTGTCGCGCCTGTACCCCCTCCAGCACTCGGGCAGCAGGGTTCAGAGCTTTTCTGATGTGGATTATTTGCTATGTTCCTGGACTGAGAAGTGGCGCGGGTAGCGCTGGTCTAGCGGAGCGTCCTGTGTTCGTGGCCGTGTGGGATAACACTCGGCGGCGGCTGTTCTGCTCTTAGCCAAGAGAAGATTCGTTCATCTAATAAATATTTTCGTGAAAAAAAAATGGGTATCCTGTTGAGCGCGTCAGCGATATCTTTAAGTGATTATCAATGATTTAATTTAGCGTTTTTCTGTTCCATTTCCCCTTAGTTCTTTTGACTGCGAAAAGGATTCAGTAGAAGCTCTTCAGGATTTGGCTTTTTAAGTTTGTCATAAGGGTCATAGGAGCTGGTTTTCATTCCTGGTTTGCCTACATCCTCGTGTGACCACGTGACAGTCAATTACGAAACTGTTTGCGTGTCATATCGCCCAGAACCGACCGAATTGTATGATGCAAAATCAATTGTTCGCAGTTCTCCTAATTTGCTTTGAGAACCGGCCGGTTACTCTAAAAATGAATGTTTTTTTATCCTTTAAAGCGGACATTCATTCTGCTGTGTCCGCCTCCCAGCTTCCATTCGCTTATAGACTTCCTGCCTTCCTCCACCCTTCAGCTTACCCTTCAGCTGTCTGCCTCTTCTCCGCCATCTGCCGATCTTCCAACCCCACCTCCGTCGGGTTGATCGCCCTGTTGTGTCGGGCGCCTCTTTCACCTGTTCTGACCCGAGCAGCCAGCTGTCGGGGTGAGCTGCCGAGCCTCTGACCGCTCTAAGCTTCCAGACGGTGCCCCTGACCTCTGTCAGGCGCATGTAGCCCATGTGGCGCAGAAGCGGCATTGGTGGCGGGGCAGTGACAATCAGGTACTCATCTTGGTAGAATGTGGCTTGACCGGGGATGAATCGGCCTCTCGGGGAGGGGAGGGGAGGGGGAGAGGTCGCGGGCGTACGCCGACCCTGGGACACGGACTGCCCCAACGTCCAAAACTGCGGGAACTGCGGAAAGTCGCTGACGTCAGCTATGACTGAGCTAAGAAATGATGATGCTGAGACGAAGTTCAAACTGGTAAATGGTGTGACGAGATCACGAGTTTTTTTTTGGGATTGGCGTCGCTTCGATTCCTGTTCCGTGATTTTTCGTTCCGAGTCTTGTGCACCGCGAAAGTGGTTCCTATGACTGCAACGAAACTGGTTTGATCGTGTGGCCTGTGAGGCGCCGAAAACGAAATGTTTTCATCCTACTCTGCCGAAAAGCTGGTTTTGGCACCGGTTCGCCGATTCCGTTTCAGGCCCCGGGATTTCGGTATCCACCATCTCTGTCAACATTGCGCGAAAGACTTGTTGGGCATGTCAAGACCTATCGGGTTATTGGCTGTTCAATTGGCTGCTGTTGTCCTCTCTAGTTTTGCAGCAGCAGTACCGTAACATACATATGCTGCTTTTGATAGCATTACCATGAATTGTAAGTGCGAGTACCCAAGCTGCGACGTTGTCACGTGCTGGAACTCATCAACGAGTTGCTCTAAACCTACTCCCTGAAGGTAGCTGCAGTGGCTTGAAGGGTTCACGCATCAACTCTCCAAGCTAATAAAACTCTTCCGTGTCTAGCTGATCCTTTTCTCGGAACTCTGAGTGGGACACTTTGTATCTTTTTCTGAAGTTGCATGAGTAGAGGTTGATTTCCGTGACATTTGTGAGTCAGCGACTTGCCGATCGCACTTATTGGCTCGATTTCATCTCCAGGGAGTTACCGGCGTCTTTCTGACGTTGTTACTCACATGTTCCGCAATCAGTTCTTCCATGTTCAGCAATCACTTGAGGCCTCATGACGGCCTTCCCGTAGCTGTCATAAGACCCTCCTGTCATAAGCACTAATGACCTTGCAGTGGTAAGCTACACGTCCTGAAACCTCAAACATCCACACCTGTTTTTGAGATGTTGCACCGCCGCCAAAGCTTATCGCCCCTACCACCAATCCTTCAAACACCTACTACCGTAAAACCACGTCCTCATCCGGTGCGTACCCAGGTTCTACCAGGGGGCTCTCCCCACTGGGAGGGCCTCCCTGGGGCCAATTGAAGGCACTGGGGAGTCCCCAGTCCATACTGAAGAGGCGTTTCCTGGGCTCCTCCCAGCCCCATGCGCTCACAAACGTCCCGATCGCTGGTGGGGAGCTTTGTCAGCTATCAGCTCAATCATACATCCACTCCGGCTGCGGCTCGGATACCGGTAAGCTTCGAACGGATCACAGCTCACGGAAGTGGCTTCCAGCGCTGAGGAGAGCTGTCGCAGCTCACTGATGGCTGGTAGCTGCAGGGAGGGGTTGAGGCGGCAAGGGATGAAGAGGGGGATGAAGTAGTAAGGCGTGATAGGATAGGGTGGAAAGTTTAAAGCGGAGATGTTCCTGATCTGTGGTGTAGACGCTTGGTAAGATGATGGGGAGTCGGTGATCACTGATCACTGATCGTGCTGAAATTTCTTGCTCAGGTTGTAGTGACTGAATAATTGTTCCCGGTGTAAAATGTTAGCTGATAATGCCAGAGTGCGTACTACAAAGGTCAGACACATATGCTCAGCGATGTGCTCGAAACTCGAACCTCGCATTGCAGGCACCGTGGCTGAGGTCAAGGGAGACGGGTTTTTGCGGAACAAATTTCTAACCTTTTATTTTTAAATGGCTTTTAGTGGCGAGATTAAAACACACTGAAAAGGTTTCGAATATGTGCACTGTATACCACGAAATTGATAGCACGGTGCTGGGAGGCTGAGGGTCAGTTTGATCGTCCGAAGTTGCATCTCTACTTCACGGGCTGGTGATTTGGGGGGGGGGGGGGGCGCTGTAGCACTGAGGGTCGAAGGGGAGGGGGAGGGTGCACACCGTCTGCACGCATCACGCGCAGCCGCACGCAGCAGCCATGAACTGCGCGATGTCAACGAACGACACGGTTGGTTACTTGACCGCGAGGAGACGGTTTGGCCGGCAGGGCGTCTTAGTTCGGCAGTCGGCCGCTAGGTGCGCGCAGGTCGCCACTCGGTCCGTCCTACTAGGCTGAGACGGGACCGGGAGGGAGCTGGGCTCGGAAACTTGGGGATCCGGAGCCAGGGAGTTTTAGACCTGCAGCTATGAATTGCGTGATCGGGAGCTCATCAGCGTGGTCCGTGAACTCGGTAGCTCTTGGATCGTGAGTAGTGATGTCATTTTCCAAAAAAATGTCTGACCGATACCGACGGCGACCGAAACCAAAATTTGGGGAAAATTTCCGACCGAATACCGACCGATAAATCCCAAGCCAAAATTTGACCGAAATTTGACCGAAATTCTATTTGCTATTACTCTACCCCAAAATTAAAATATTTGGCAAATTCTGATGGAAAATAATGGGAAATGGCATTTCAGTCCAAGTTCAGTCAATCCCTAGCCACTGCAAAATACATTTTGTGGTAGAAGTTACATTGCTGAGGGTAGCAACACATGGACCTCAGCATTTCACAGATTTGGTTAATTAGAATTGTCAAGAATCTACTGTGGTCTATGTAAGGAAGAATGCTCATTCATGTTGCAAAAGCACGATCAATTAGTAAGTCAAATGGTTGGTAATAGGTACCTATGTTCATGACAACATTCCCTAGGAGAAAAGGCGGAATCAACACACCACAAAACACATCAAAGCTGCTTGGAAACTTGCCTTGAGCCTTGAGATGTGGTCTGAGATACCCTACAAAGAATTTGACACTGAAAATCCAGCTGAAAAGGCAGGTACTAGGTAGCTCTGAGCTTGAATTTTGTCCCAAAAATGAAATGAAAATTCATAAACAGGCACTTTGTTACGGAGCGAGCGAAGCGAGCGTAGTCTTTCCTTAGATTAACGGAAATTTCTGAGTATGAGCGGCCGGCCGGCCGGCCGGCCGGCCGTGGTCACGCTTTTGCGAGGCTTATATCTCAGCAACCACTTGACCGATTTACACGCGGTAATTTTTGTAGGGTAGCTTCATTCCTTCTACCAAGTATTGGACTATTCCTGATGCATGTGGGTGACCCCTTATGCACGTGCCACGTGCAAAACGAAGAGGTGTCCGTTTTGTAATTGTTGCAATATCTCGGTAACTACTTGGCCGATTGCGCTGAAAGTTGGCATGTAGGTAGGCACCCACTAGGCACTGCATATCCATGTGCCAGAGTTGGGGTGCTGCTGCACGTGCGCACGTGCAGGGGTCGTTTCCAGATCTCGAGAACGGCTCGACCGATTGCGCTCAAATTTGGTACACAGTTAGGGACCGGTTAGTAGGGTGCCGTGCACAAGTCAGTTGGGACCCATTTTGCACGTGCGCACGTGCAGGGTGCCGCTTCCAGATCTCGAGAACGGCTGGGCCGATTGTGCCCAAATTTGGCACGTCGCTAGAGACCGGTTAGTAGGGTGCCGTGCACAAGTCAGTTGGAGGTACCCCCTCGCAATTTCGCACGTGCAAGGCCCACCCTCTCGCTCGCTCCGTTAGTCGCCGCAAAAGGCGTTATACTGGTCTTATCTCTTGTTTTTCTTATCTTTACAAGAAAACAAAAAAAATATGCAGAGACAAAACTAATACAAAGTGGCGCCAAAGTGGCGCAAAAGTAATAGAAGAACCAAGGATTGACTTTTTAAGATCCTCTCTTCCCTAACGAAAGGATGTATGATGATGACGTAATATTTATTTATATGCCCTTTTGGTAGAATTATTGGAGGGAAATTAATTTTCTTGTAGTGGATTACACTCACAATGTTGATAACATTAGAATTAAATA